GAAGGGATCCCCCTTCACCGGAGAATTTAAACTACGGTATTAGCGGAAAGGTAATCGGCAAAGATACTCGCCAACTTCACTCTTCGGTATACTTGGGTATCTCTGCATTAGGGTTGAAATCTCTCACTTTCGGATCAATGTTCCTGCGCGTCTGAGGCTGGATGAAATACCGTAATCCAATATAATCATCTGTCAGGTCTCGCTTTTCGGCCGTAACTTTACATTAGCGATGGTGGGTAAATACCGGTGTAGTAGGGCGGTACGGAATCAAAGCTCCTCCGTCGGGAGAAGAAGGAGAGGGCGGTGACAGGGTACAGGTACTGACATCGATATAAAGTTGGTGGTATGATACGGTAGGCTGTTTTCGCCCCCTCTAGTGTCAGTCAATGAAGTGGGGAGAGAGTAAAGGAGGAAAAAAAAGGGCCGGCATGGACTACGAAGGTTGAATGGAGGGGGATAGGGTATGATCTGTGCCCAAGTGAAACGAAGTTTGTTATGAATGACTCATCATTGGACGCGCTTTTAGCTGGCAATGATTTTTCATACTGGGTGCACTGTTGATGGTAACGCTGATGATTTCTAGAAATTCCCTTCGAGAGCGAAGTTGTGTGATATCATGCTTTGGCGCCCCGCCCCGGCCCTTCTTACCGGCGATCCGCCTAACATTTGGAAGCCCTCAGAGTCACGGTGGAGCGCTTCTCTGATGTATGATTCCCGGCCGACCGCAATACGATAGATTGCTTGGCCGGCAGAAAATCTGCCCACATGCTACTATGGCTAGCACATGGGCCTATGGGACACGACAGTGGTTTACGAATCCTACCTATCCTTCGTGGTACCGCGTGCGGCCTTTCAGGGAGTTGTGTTCCAGGGAGACATGGGAAGAATTGAAACTCTAGGTGATAACTTACATGGACGGGACCACCGGGAACAATCGGCTCCGAGGGGAGAACACCCATTATGATTGCCTAATCCCCTTGAGAGGGAGAATGTGATAACACGGTCCGAATACCGAACCGGTCGGCATCTGCGCACAGTTAAGACCTCTAAAAAAAGGTATCATATCATAGCATTGTCTCCAATTGGCCTGACACTATAGCTGCGTACGGCCTGGCTCGGTTGGCTCGAGGAACGAACTCGCACCGAGCAAGAGGTTGTAGATACGGTTTACATAATCGCCTGAGTCGGGAGTTTTTTTAACAAAACAATACAAAACAGGACAAGCTGCATACATACAAGGTCACCGTGAGCTCGTTGCTTGGTATATTACATAATGGGGAGAAATTGGGGTGTCATGTCTTTCCAAGCGTGATAACGTAGAGAGCAGCGTAGGAACGTGAATCACTCAACGATACACCGTCTTCATCGCTACCTCAAGTATCGTCACCAGAAACAGGAGGGACTCATTTTTTTCTTTTTCCACTTAATTTATATAAATATACGAGTGTACAGATCACGCCTCCCCGCCTCTCCGACAACCTGTGTATTTTTCTCACCATAAGTTATATATTTTCTAAGATGGGCCTAGAATACTCTGCGAGTGATGCCACATGATTGCCTGCACGAAATATTCCATCCACTTCCATCCACGCAGAAGCAATGACAGCACACGATACCGCAACAAAGTAAGGTATGTAAAAAAGGAAATAAATATATGCTACTTGCCACTACTGCTTGCTGCCCCTCTGGATACGGTAGGGATAGAACACCACATGGCACCCCCTCTCCACCTTTTACTAGAACATAAAACTGAGCTGAGAGAGAGAGAGAGAGAGAACATACCTTATTAAACCTGTATAAGAAGAACACATCTCGGGGCCTCTGACTTTCCTACTTTTTTGGGGGGGGGAAAGGTACACGATTGTACATTTTTATTTTACTTTTCTCTTTCAACTGCCCGCAGTTGATGGTACAGTACTTCTCATACCTTCCTCCCATAAGAGCGGGTGGGCCTCGGAAAGTCCGAGAAGAGTCGTGAATCCTCCTCCTCACGAAAGGAAAGCGCGGTCGAGGCGTTCAAGGGACGATATATACCGGTATAATGTAACATCTTGTCTTGATAGAGTGGATGGATGGGTCCTTTTCCCCTTCCCTGCCCAACTTTATACTCTACTTTACTGGTAAGCCACCCGACGGGAACGTAAGGCAGTCACGCATCGCACCTCCTTCGAGTTTGTCGGAAAGAAGAACTGTCGTTGTTTGGTTACTTCCTTATTGCGTGCTTCCGTAATTGGCGAGGGATATCCCGTCACCCCTGGTGATCTCTCGAGTGAGCTTTCGTGCTTGCGTGCTCGCTCCGAAGCTGGGCACAACATATTGTATGATTGGTTGGCATAATAACCGAACGTCGCAGCGCTTTCTAGAATCTGAATCGAGTCGGCTAACATTCTTCTGCTTGATACAGAAGGATGAAAAAAAAAATCGAGAGAAGTAGTAGTGAGTATTGTTAAAAGCCATCTTCTGTATGCTTCAAGAAAATTCCTTCACAGGGCATATTCAAAGGGACGGAAATGGCTGGAAGTAATTCGGGATCTTAAACAAAACCCATTCACCATTTTCACCTCTTTGCATGATTTTAAATCTCTGATATGGCTAGATGATAGAGAAGACCATGATACTCCTTTTATTCTATGGTCATGGGAATATTGAGTGAGCGTCTGCGGTGGGTTACAGATTGGAGGGAAATATGGTAGGGAAATGTTTATTTCTTGAAATCGTCACTATTCTTGTCTGTATCAAATTCTTTTCATGTTAGAACCTTTTATGTGGGAATTGTTCGGGTGGTATATGCTTATAGCCATGCCATGACATTCTCCTGAATCTTGTTAATGGGTCTGATTATGTCCCTTCTTTTTTTAGCATTGTTGAGGGGCTTTTATTTGTTGGAGGATTTTAATCTTGGGCTCAGGATTGGGTTGCTCATTGTGAATGTTTGGTTGTTTATGCTGACGTACGATACTTTTACACTTGCGCAGATCGGCTTGAGCACATGGTTTTGGAAATCTCTGGAGAGTTCTCGATTGCCTTTGGGAGGAAGGAGAGAGAGAGAGAGAGAGAGAAAGAGAGGGTTGAGACCCGTACTTTCGCTGCGGCGGAATCTTCTGGTCGAAAACACCGCCTACAGCTACCGAGTTTGTGAGTGTGAGTGGTCTCTCGCTGTCAGACATGGGTGAGTGAGAAGTGGTAGCAATGGGGTAAATTTGAAGTAAATTTTTAGTCTATATAGCCTTGAAGCTGGCGGGGGCGGAGGGGGAAGATAGATCCTCAAATACATGAGACCGCCCAGAAGAACTACCATTTTTCTCACGGGAATCTGGCACGGGGAGAGAGAAAGAACGTAAATAAGGAACGGTCTCTTGTAATATCGCTCCAACCTAAAAAGAAGACAGTGCATTACCTTATGAACCCCTTTGTCCTTCAAAGCATACACATGCTCTTGGAAAAGACAGCATCCCACATTTCTCCATACCATCCCCTCAAAACCCGCAGGTGCTCCACTGCTGACAGAAGGACAGGATCGAACTAGGCGGAAAGGGGGAGCTAGCAACTGATGATACAGAGATTACATCCCCAATTCAGTGAAATTCACCAGAAAATCCTACCAGAATATTCCCATAAATCACAAAAGATCACTCGCCAACCCGAAACCCCCCCCCCTCCACCCCACCGGCCCTATGATACCCCGGTGAAAACAACAAACCAGGTATGATAATTATGATACCCAGGAGAGAATGAAAGAAAGTGTACGAAAAAAAGATATCCCAGAAATACCCCCCCCTTCACACTAACTTATCAAACAATTACAGATAATATCATCTGATACCCACCACCCACTCACACACCCCATAACCGCACCCCGAGACATCCGCACCGGGCGGGAGCATAACACGGAGGCGCCACGGGCACGCTAAAATACAACGCTACGATACGTACAGCGCCAAACACATCTTCTCCTCCCCCCCCCTCCGGATATCAACGAGTCGGGACCAACCCGGGATATAAAAGTTTAAATCCGGGCGCTTACGAGATGCCGGTTTTCCGGGCGGTTTCGTGGGCGTTGGAGACTTAAGATTTTCCTCCGTTCATTCGTTTTTGTCAGTTCGTGCCGCGGGTTGCGGGGGGGGGGGGTCGTCAAGCGTTTGGAAAGTGGGGATTTTATATATCGGATATAATGTATATATTACCAGTTGGTGTTCCAGGTTTTGGTGTGGTGCTTACTAACTTTGGCGATCACGGGGGGAGGGGGCGGGGTAATGATGGGGGATCGCTTTTCTGGGGTTTGCTGCGCCACTTTGGTGTGGTGAAGACGTGTGGTGCGGTATAATGAGGGGGGTGAAGAGAGGGCTCGGGCAGTTGGCTACTTTGCAATGGAAAGGGGTTTTTTTTCAGACTCGGGCTTCGACACTGCATGGGTGGGGGGGCTGTGAGAATCGTGAGGGCAGCTATCTCTTTCCGTGGTGGGGGTGAGGAGCCTGCGGATTGGTGTGGTAATTTATGGTGTTTTATGCCATAGTGTGGTAAGATCTGAAGATGACTCGAGACATCGGGTGGGGGCGCCATGCAAATGGTATCAGACATGGCGGTCACCTCTGTTCTAGATTATCAGTGGTTTCTCAATTCTGTAAAACTTCCGATTGATTCAGTTCTCTGCCGCGGACTGCTACATGTTCCCCGGCCTGGTTTGACCTGATATGGAGCCCCCGAGTTCTTTGGGGGCGGGAAAAATGTCGGCAAAGAGTGCTTTGTTTCGGTTTAAAGTGTCTATCGAATCTAGTTTTTTGTCCAAGCCGCAAGTGCTTTGTCGGTGCTCTGGTGGCGTTCGCCTCTTTACTAGTTCCCACCATGGCCAGATCTTAGCAACAACAAAGACTACTGGAAAAAAGTCTTGGCTCACGATGAAATGTTCCAACAGGACTCCCCAAAGCTCCATATCGCAGCGCATTGCCTCCTCGCTCGAACGCGAGAAAAACGACTTAAAATTGGAGCAAAAAGCGATGTTGCACTAGTACATCTATGATAGAATTGTCATAACTTCCCCCACATTCTGGCGCCCCATTGCTCTCCCCCCTTCACATCCGTCTACCCAATACCTTTCGTAAAAATCAAATCAAATCGTCCCCTCCTTCAAAGGTGTGTACTCCTTACTCCATCCAAAACGCCCAAGAATGTTAATCCGCTTCCTAAAAAGAATCGCGAATGAGTCCTTTTTAAAAATCCTTCTAGAAAAAAAGAGAACTGATTGACAAGACTAGCAAGACAAAAGCCAAACCAAACCGAGGCCGAACCAAGGCCAATCCAAAGTTGGACCAAACCAAACAAAAGCCAAGCCAAGCCAAAACCAAAACCATGTACTGTGCTCCTAAGGAAAGTAGACAAAGCAAAAGTAGAAATGGATAAGGGTGGAGGGGGGGTAAAAAAGCGTGGAAAGTAAAATATCGTCTATAATGCAACGCCATCGTTCTATGTATCTCCAACCGTGACACGTGAAATAAAGGTAAAGGAGAAGACGGGAAAAAAATGCCGGAAACAGTACACCATTTTTAGGAGAACGCGGCCTGCGCGGAGGATGATGAAGAGAGGGATGAGATAGCAGGGAGCTTACTTGTGGAGGGCAGCTACAGCGTGCCTATAGGCAAGGTAATTCAACATCTTGTCCACCACGAGAGCTGCAGCGGTACTCAGTTAGTAGCTGCACCTCAGAGAGAGACTGCTCCAGGAAAGGGGGGAGAATACCCATGAAAACTATCAGGCAGACCTGCGGGATCGGCCAAGGACTATACAAGTAATCATAATAAAGCTCCTCATTACCCCTTGTATGGAGTCCAACCATTCCGTACATGACAAGTCCCACGGCGAGCCTTATCGCAATGGAGAGGTAATCGTGAACGTCCTTATTCCGGCGAACTAGGAATGTGAACGCTGCGAGCAGCACAAACGCGCACCCCAGCGAGACGAAGAAGTATTCATAGACTAGATTGAATACGCCGAGGACCTTTCCCAACGGGCCGTCTTCGCTGAATGGCTCCTCGTATTTCAGGAAGACCGCCGTTGGCCGAGGTGCTTTGACACCATAGTACTCTGCGATTCCAACCAGCAGCTCAGATAGTAATTCGTTGACCATATGCGGATACCCGGTTTCTGAAGTGGCATTGTTGCTAGCGAGGCCCACCAGGGAACCGATGTTTGCGGTGATGTTTGAGTATCCTTTTACTACGGTTTTGGAGCTGCCGTCCTCATATAGAGATTCGAAATGGTATTGGAACCACTCCGTTACTAGTGCTGGCTCGGTGAGGGTCTCGGCCTCTGCGAAGATGCCGGATATGTAGGTGTTCATACCGTGCCAGGTGGTTAACTGCCGGAGGCCTTCTACTGAGAGGACAATGGCGAGGTGGAAGGGGAAGTGCAGGAGGGTCCATATCTGCTGACGGATTGTGCCGTAATGGACGTTTCTGGGATTGTAATCGAAGTAGAGCATCCAGAAAAAGTACTAATTTCAATTTAGGTAAGCAGGTGTGTAGGGGGGTTTGCACTGGGAGTGATATACGATGACGGCTAGAGCGGCTGCGACGATTCCGGCTAGGTCAGCTGTCCACCCAGTGCCCTTGACGATTGCGTTGATAGCTTTAAGCATGACGATAATGCCCTCGCCCAGAATGATAAGTGTCAGCAACCCCATTCTTTCGACGAGATGCGTCTTCTTGAAGCTAACCACCCTCCAGACACTCGAGGTCCCAATAATGGCACAGGCCTCGAATATCGCTGCGATATACCAACCGATGTAAGACTTTGCCGGGTTACCCTTCTCAAAAGCAAAATACAGCTATAGTTCCTCGTCCAGGTCAGCAAGCCGCCCCCTCTCAAACAATAATCGTGAGGATATATAAACACACCCCGAGGTAAAGGCTCCCCGCAACTGCCATAGTCAAACAATGCAATGCAAGAGGGAGCATAGCCCGCTTCTTAATCCTAGCAAACAACATGACCACGAAATACTGAATCATGAGGATATATCGGGAGAACATCAACGCGAGCGTCATAGTTCTAAGCGCAGTAACAGTGTGAGCGTCGGTGGGATCCAATGGATTCCACTGGGTCGATACAGACGAGAAACCAGCCATCACTATGAAATGGATAGATTTGCACACCCGCTCGTACACCGAATCCCGGGAGAATCGAACGTCCAGAAGAGTAACGTGCAACCAGGTAAACCAAAGGATAATGAAGAAGAGCCCATACGAGGCCAAACCTGTGATATTTCGTCAGCCTAGTTAAGGTTTGTTTAAGAGGTATTAGGGGGGAGCGAACTTCTCTTCTCAGTGATATAATGAACCGACGTGACAGTCGTGAGATTAGCAACAAAGAACAGGTCATAGAAAAGTTCTATCGGGGTCGCTTCCTCGATCTCCAGTTCCTCTTTGTGTGTCATAGGCTCTCCCTGGTCGATGACACTCGCCCTGAAGTCGGCCCGGGGCTTAGCGCTGAACACGCTCACACTGGAGCCGTGCGGCAGCGATCCAATACTACCCTCAATCTCATGTTTGAAGGGATTCTTAATCCAAGGAAGTAATCTAGACTTTCGTTGCTCTACAATTCTCCTATGCAAAGTCAGAGCGGAGCAAACAAAAGGTGGGGTGGGGAACGGGAAGCTTACGCCTTGATGGTGCTATCCACCAGATTGTTCATGATGCCGGGAACGCCAAGATATGAGGAACTCGAGGAAAATATACCGGCGGCATGAACGAGTTTATTATATACTGACAGCACGTCCCAGCCGGGCCCTCACTAGATATAGCCAAGCCGGTGGACATCCGGGGACGCCCTGTCCGTCCTCCATCCGTTATTGCTACACGGATCCTTCCCTTCCCGCCCCGACCAACACACCGGTTCTCACCACCAGTATAATGCCACCACTCAGTTTCATGGAAGAGGAAAAACAAAAAACAGCCTGTTTCGCCCGCTGCCACGTACGACACCATGCAATCAAGCTTTTCGGGTCAGAGGCGCTATTGTCAGAGTAACCAATTATTGAGGGAGGGATCCAGTATTCTGATAAGCGCTCGCTGGTAGGAGCTTGAGCTACCGTGGCACTGCCCGGCTCGTGGAGAGCATTTCCATTTGATAGGCAGGGTGTGGTGTTGAGTAGGGTGGGAGCGGGGGGGGTGCGTAATCAGGGCTGCGGTACGGGTAAGCATTGCTCTGCAAGTGGTTTTGTCGAAGGAGCTGAAGGTATAGAAGTGCAAGCTACCCTGATGATCTCGGGGTGACTTTTTAGGTGCCGGCAATTAATCAGCACTGTAGCATCCACCATTTCTTAGCACGCCCTACTACCGGTCTTCCTGAATGCATTTTGTTTCCGAAGGGCCTTACCGTGCCATTCACGCCAGCCAGGGATATTTTAATAGAACATAAGGCTAGTAGACTGGGGATGGTTGTAGATTAATAAAAACCAGGCAAGCATAATTTATGTCTTCTCACTAGTGTATTGCCCCGGCCCCAGTAGAGCGCCTCCTTCAAAAAAAGGGGGGGGAGGGATGCGAACTACCGATGGCCCCCGTTTCCCTCCCGCAGCACTGTATTGTACGAGTACTCGTACTGTACTGTACTAGTACTTGTAGACATCCACTTCATCAGACTCAATCTCGATACCCATCCCTTCCCTTCCTAGCACTCGTGTCCCCCGGACCAATGCCCCTACTGGTGGATCATCATCTCTCCGACTGTCTGTCATACAAACACGGAACGGTAGCTGCCCAAATAGGTTTCGTCCGATCTGGATCTAAAAGAACTCCGCCCACTCCCTCCCTGGCCCACGCTGGGTGAAAGAGAGTAAGGAAGGAAAAAAAAAAAAAAAACAAAGAACCGTATCAGTACGAAGTTCTAGATGAGTCCGGGAGATCGGGGGTGGTGTCAGGTAACATCTTTGTGAAACTTCTGATTCTTTCCTTCTCCTAAACGCCCAGCCCCGCTTAGCGCTTGGCAAAAGAGAAAAAGGCAGTTTAGGCAAAAGCTTGGTTTGACCGCATGGATGCCTTGGTTCCGATGACTTGTGCGGTTGGCTACGGTGCCTCAGGTGCTGTTTGGATGGAATCAATTTCCAAAGGGTCTGTATTTTGTGGAGACCTCCAACGGGGTTGTCGGAGCACCAGCAGCTGGGTGGTAGGGGCAGGAATTTGCTCTGCTCGAGGATGATAACTGTGATGTGCTTTCTCGGTACCGTACCGTACCTGGGGGCGTAGCGAAAAATACGGCGCGGCGAAGGATTTGGTGGGTGTGCAATGTGTCCCGGGGGGGGGCTATTTTTGTGGGATATTTGAGGTATCGATCGCCAAATCTTCCGCTGCGCCGCATTCTTCGTCATTCCCCCTCCGGCACGCTATTCCGACCCGCACTTAACACTGTTTTTAAAATGGTTTCAGCGGGGGTGAGATGCACCATCGATTCTACGATATAATACAATACCAGTATACTTATACGGATACCCTGGCCAACGAGCGGATGGGCGCACCATACACTAAACTACCGGATCCGGTACACTAAAGTACAAAAGTGAGAGAAACCGGGCAAACAATGCAACAACACAAAACATCCCACCATCATCCGGGCAAAAACACAACCCCCGAGACACCATCTCCGGGCTCTTATAGGGCCATGCAAGCTTAAGCCAAAATTCCATCATACCAGAGAGCATAACAGTTCCTATTCAAGTCCGCCAACGCAACGCTCCTCTCCACAAAAACCCCAACCTCGGATATCCACTCGGCCATACCAAAGCTAGCAAGCGTGTCCCCACCACCCGTAGCAAGCCGAACCTTCTCCTTGGACGTCCCCGCATTGAGTCTTGCAAGGACGAACCCGCGGAGTCTGTTCGAGACAACTCTGACAACGGGGTCCTGGTGCTCCTGAGATACCGAGATAGCTGCGATACGGGTGATGGCGGAGGTAACATGGGGGATCACTTGCTTTGGTGTAGCCACGGTTTCCTGCAGGAATGCGCAGAGGTCCCGGGCTATGGCCGACGGTTCGAGGGCGGTTTCCGAGGAGAGATCGGCGGAGATGCGGTCCTTGAGGGGCTTCCAGGAGCTACAAACGTTGCGGCGTAGAATATTCTTGATAGTTATGCCCATCGCTGCGCCGAGAACCAGACTCCGGAATTCCTCGCGATAAGCCTGGATCCGCTCAATGTCCAGATGGAAGGTTTCGGGGACTTGTTGAAGTGTCAGAGGCTCACCCAACGACATAAGCAGTGGCGCGAAGGCATGATTGTAGATCACTGTAGATGAGGGCCTACTGGATGGGTGACTAACACTTTCCGGATCGCGTGACCGAGCTTCTTGGAGTTTCTCCTCTTTAGCCTTCAGGAGCCATTGCTTTGCTTGAGTCAGAGTGGTTCGGCCGGCCTCGAGGTCTGCAGCGAACATGCGGCGCTCATAGGGCACTGCTTCAGGTATCATGTATTGGGCAGACATCATAAGGAGAAAGTTTGCGTGGTCCAATTGCAGGAGCTCCAGGACATCGAATAATCTCTGAAGACGATGGATATAGTCGCCAGTGTCGTTGATGAGTGCTTGTACGTCATCGTCTCTAACAGGTGAGCAAATCTTGGGAAGAATGGAGAGGACAAAAGAGAAGAATTTCTCGTAATTATAGGAGCCAGCACGGCACTGTTGTTCGATGATCTGGATATCGATGCTATCGGAGATCATCCTGTGGAGTGAACCAGTCGGTTCCAAAAGCCGCAGCAGCTTCTCCCTGACACTCCCTGCCATGCCCGGTATCCACTTGGCCAACTCTCCGCGTTCCAAGACATCTTCCTTCATGACATCCCAAAAGGCTTTCCTAGTCTGTTCCTCCACCATCCTTTCCAACCCGCCTTTCTTTCTGGCCTTTAGCTTGAAATTCTTATCGAGGGCTAGCTCATGGACAATCTGGCGATTCGAGAATACCGCGCCGTCCTCCATTGGAGGAAACCTGCTCTGGCCTGCTACGCCAGGTGGCGTTTCAGGAGGTTGAGGCGAGCCGGTCGGCGTGATGGAAGAAACGGCAGCGCCGGAAGACACAGAAGAGTTGTTGTCCTCTGTGGAAACTGAATTACCATCAGAAGCAGTGGGAGTAGCTCTTGGCCTTGTATCGCCCTTTTCTTTCTTGGGCAACCTCGTCCTTCTAGCCTCTTTGACGGCCTGTCTAATCAAAGTCCTGGTCCGTTCCCCGGCGAGTCTCCGGATGCGAACAAGGAGTAGAAGTTGATTCTCTCTGATGCCTTCTTTGAAGTCCGACGCAACGTGCTCTTCCGTGTCATCTTTAACCTTTTGCCAAATGAGATCTAGCTCAGCATACTGGGCTACCATAGTACTGATAAGTATTTCGGAATCCCGAGTTTTCCAGGACGCAAACCCTGTGTTGAAGGCATCCCACGCGGCAGAGAGGCTTTGGTCCGGAGGGAATGTAGGAGAAGATAGAAAGGACTCAAAGGAAATTAGGAGATCTTTAGATTTAGTTATCAAAGCCTGTGTAGAACGGCTAAGGTTAGCGTGTACTTGCGGGCTCGGGCCATCAGTGAACACTACTTTCTCATTCTCACCATCATCACTCAATACCTCGCCCGGATGACCAAGTATCAAAAAAGCACTTAGAAAAGTCCTACAAGTCTTTTCAATCTCAACCTGCCCTTCTTCAAGACGCTCTAATAACCCACAAAGCCTCAAAAGCCTTGCGGTGGCCTTCTGAACCTCCTCTTCCCGAAACTTGATGGAAATAGCCTCAAAACTGGTGTCCCTAACACTCTCGATGGTAAGCCCGAGCCCCAGGAACCTCCTCACAATCTCCATATTTCTATAATTTCTATAAACCCGTTGGATTTGAATCGCTGCCTCCTCTTTAAGAATCTCGGTAGATTTAGTAGCGCCAAGGCGGATCTTCTGCAAAGGCCCAGCAACGGCCTCATCACCTTCCTCCTCACTACTGCCGTCAACCTTCATACTAGAGCCGGACCCTCTCTCCCGTCTCTTGCCCCTACGCTCGCGAAGAGCTTCCTTCCTTCTCCTCTCAGCCTCAAGCATCCGCTCCTCAACCCCACTCCTCAAAACCCTCGCCTCCTCTTCCCGTCTAGCTCTCATCCCCCGCGCAACCTGCTTTGCCTTCGCGACCTCACTTGCACAGCTCCCCGCAACCTTGGCCAGAATAGCATTCCGGCTGTTCTGCGCCTGGCTCAGGCTCCGTTGCAGTGCAAGAAGACGCTCGCTTACGGCTTCGTGGGAATTAGCTCGCGCCCGCCGGACCTTCTCGACGTATGCTGCGCGTTGACGGAGCAGCGATTTACGGGTCTCGAGGAGGGTTTGGCGGCGGGTTGTGGCAAGGCTTGAGTTTGTCGGCGGGTGGCTGCAAGGGGAGGATGCTCCGGGTCTGCGACGCTTCCTGCTGAACCGGGCCTCGAGGTGCGCCGGGGGGTTCCAGCCGGGCGAAGAAGCCGAGTTCTCGTCGTGGTGTAGCATGTTCGTTTGTAGAGTTGTCAGCACAGTCGTGATGGTGTGACACTGTATGAGGGGGAGATGGGGGGGTAGAGGTAGAAGGATGACAGCTGCGAACGACGCGAGGAGGTTAGCAGCTAGGGGTTACGATGCTACGATTGATTGGGTGGGGGGGGGGGGGGGGATGTGGAGGAAGAGTGGAGTCGAGTTGTGTAGGGGCCGGGTTCAGTTGAAACTCGGGATGCATGGACAAACTTGGCGTTATTACAGGCCGCTGATAAACTTTCTCTAGCTCCAGATGCTCTCGAGCCCGTATGATGCAGCTGTTACAGGATATCTTCGACACCCTGAAATTTTTGGCCCGGCGAGATTGTCGATCTGTTACCGCTACCGGAGTCTCCAGACACCTCTTTCCCCCCCATCTGTCATCTAACCTGGCGGTACGGCTGACGGTAACCTTGGCCTGCAACAACAGCACCTGGCAAACTGATCCAAGAGAACCCGTGATGCAATCCCTGCAATCCATCATACAGTACGAGCCTCCTCGGGTAGCACTCCACCAGCCACCGACGATCGACAACCGTCAAATCATGAAATGCTATCATCCAGAATCCAGCAGACCAACCTCATCCTCACCCAATCCGGAAACAGGAGCCCTGGCTGGGAGAGCCCGAGACTTTTACTCCCTTTGTCCCACCCCAACTTCCCTTTCTTTTCCCAAACCGTTGTCCAGAAAACGTTTCCCGAGAGCTGTGGTAAGCTATTTCCAAGGGAAGAATAAGAAAATAAAAATCCCACGCCAACAAACTCCCCCGTACCATACTTGTAGCAAGCAAAAAAAAAAATTTACTTAACCCCTTCCCCGCATTTGTATCATAGATCAACAATTAAACCTCCCAACCCAAGGAGTCCCTCCGTCACTCCCGTACCGCACCCGTCAAAACTTCGATCGGACGTCTGAACACGAAACGAAACGGGCAGTATGGACTCGGAATTATTGGCCCACCAAGCACGAGCAGCGGTAGATACCCTCACCGCACAACTCCGCTCCCTAGAGTGCGTCCCCCGCCCCGCTCCCAAAACACTGCATGGCGTCGTCGCCATCGGCTGATACATGGATGCCTTTTTTACAGGAACGAGCAAACAGCGCTCTTGCACTCGCTACAATTAACCTCCACAACGCTCTCCACCCTACCCGCCTACAACTCTATCGCCCCAACCTTCTCCCAGATCCCCGTGTACGAGTCGAAACTGGCCCGTCTCAAGAGTGCCATGGCGGCGCAAGCGCGAGAGGTTGACGAATTGAAGCGGCGGGCGAGGGAGGCTCATGAGCGCCGCCGGAGGAATCTCAAACGGATCGAGGAGACGAGGAGGGGGGAGCGGGAGCGGGACAGAACGGTGTTGAAGGCTCAGACTCGGCCCGTGGAGGGCGAGGAGAATGGTGATAATAAGGAGAGGGATGACGGGGAGGTCACGCCGGAGGGGGAGATCAAACGAGGAGGTACATCGGTGGGGGGACCATCGAGGGAAGGAGTCATTAAAACGGTCAAGAGGAAGAAGAAGGTTCGGCAAGCGGAGATTCAGTAAACCTGTTCCCCCCAAATGTTGCTGGTAGCGTTGGCACTTGTATCCGGTTTCTTGCGATGGTTGCCGTTTTTTTCTTCCTCCTTTCTCATTATCTTACTATTATTACCCCTTGTTATTCTTACCATCCCGCCCCGCAAAACTCACTTCCCTCCTTTGCAGCAGAGGCCCGCCCGCAGCAACTATTCCCCTCCCATCGCGAATAGCGCACGTACCTTCACAACATATCACTCGAAATGAAATCTAATTATCATACCGTTTGACATTGCCGTCCAGCCCAGCACAAGCTATCATACGTCAGTCAGATGCCCATATGTCGTAGCATGGCACCTGCAACTGAGCTCTCTTGCATTTAGGGGGGGGGGGGGTCCCGGCCATCCTTCCCAGAAAGTCAAGCGAGTCCGTTCTACCGCCACTCGCGCCCGCCCACTCGAGTACTGTACGAGTACAGCACTCGCACAGTAAGGGTATTCAAAGTTGAAAATAGTGAAAATTCTTAGCTTACTTTCTTGTTTCATGTAAGCTTGGCACACCCAGAAAAAGTTGATTTACCATGACTTTACCTTACCTGACAATACTCCTGTGACTGTGGTCTCAAGGTCGGTAATAGGAAAAATTAAATAGAGTACTAGTACCTTGGTGCGAATTTGTATGAGGCTTGGTGCCAAGGTGTCTATATTGGCAAGGCAACAGGTAACCACCACATCCGCTGCCACTCAAACAACTGACGAACCCAATACCAACACCAACTAGCCAGGACCACCTGCTTCCATATTCAAGAAATAATACCAGCCGTGCAAGTGGACACTTATCCAACCCCCCCCCGCTTCACAAGCACCAACACCTAGCGAGTCACATGACCCCGGCTCTCTCTTTCTCCAGGAGTTGGGGGATGTGGAACATGAGATCTATGATGGGATTGAATTGTTTGCTTGGACCATTGATTTACAAGCCAAAAGGTTCCACTCTGATAACGTCAGCGAGTTTGTTGTGTTTACTCAGGTGGCAGAGGATGAGCTTGCAGAAATTGATGATTTTCGCAATACCCACTACAAAGCTCTTCGTTTCATGTATCTGAACGATCAAAATACTTTGATCGTTAAGGTAATGCCTGGCATAATACACGAGAGTTTGGGCCATGGCCTTATGAATGCAGTTTGGAAAAAGACGGTAATGATGGGAGTGGATGAGGAACTGATAACTGTCGGCAGTGCCAGGTTTTGTGGCACTGGGAGCCAAAAGGAAGCTGATGAGGCTGTTAAACCATTCATCTCTCGCCCTCTGAAAGCTGACTGGCCAACTATCATCATAGAGTGTGGAATATCCCAATCACTTAAGCACTTACGCATGGTGGCATGTTGGTGGCTGCAGAAATCAGGAGGGCAAGTAAAGATTGTGCTCCTGATTGCTGCATCGGAAGCTACTAGGAGTATTTACATTGAGCAGTGGGAAATGGTCACTGTCCAGACCCAACGCCTTACTCGCTCCGGCTCCCATCCCCCCGTTATTGGACCACAAAACATTCACAAAGTCGACATTAACGTGGCTCCCCCCCCGCCCCTGCCGTTCCTGCACCTGTTACTGCTGCTCCCGCTGTTTCCCCCCCCGCTCCTGCCGTTCCTGGATCAGTTACTGCTGTTTCCCCCCCCACTAGTGTTCGTTACGGGGCGGGGCGGGGCGGGTTTCCGCAAGTTCTCCCCGCCCCGTTACAGCCACAGGGCACCGCCAAACTCCCCACTCCCCGCCCTGCCCCCCGCACGGGGGCTACCGGGTGACCCCAATTGTGCTCCCAGCCATATAATTTGGTGGGAGCAGTAGCGGGGCCCCGTACAGGGGGGTGGCCAGGGCGGGGGGCCGTATTGGGCCGGGGGGAATGG